GAAATACAGCTTCCAAGGTAGACAAAGCTGTCCACAAGCTCTAACTATGTTCCTACAATGCTAAGTGAGAAGGCAGACAAATTTCAGTCCTAGAGAAGCACTTTCCACTTCAAAGGGAAAGCGCATAACATACTTAGACCCTTCAATCTCCAGGCGTCTCAAAATGAGCTGTACACTCTGTGAATTGTCACCAAACAGAGCGATATATTCATCATAATCTAAGTCGGTCACGTAACTGCCAGGAAGAAGCTCAGCACCAAAAATTGGGAGCCTTCCAGCGATCTCAACAAGACGTCCACAATTGCAAATTTGAAGAGGAATAGGGACAAATGGTACCCTTGTCGCACACCACTAGAAATAGGGATGGTTGAGGAAATTGCCCTAGACCCACACTTTACCTGACACTTAGAAGTAAAGCGCCCGAATGATGGTAGTGTACTTTTGGGGACTCCATTTCTTAACAAACAGTACCGTAAAGCAGCTGGAATATACAGGAAACCGACAATGGTTGGCAGGTGGTAGAGATGAGAGTGTTCCGGGATTTCGCGCAGCGTATAGATCTGGTGCACGCATCCACAACCGGGGCAAGAGCCAGCTTATTCTTTGCGGTAACACAACTCGCGGATGGAGGATAGTCTGCGAAGAAGAATGGATGCCTGCAGTTTGAAAGCAACCGGTATGAGACTGATTCCCTTGTGATTAGCACAGCATGTGCGAACACCTTTCTTAAAACAGGGACAGTTATTGACGCACCACAGGGGGATGGAATCATCTCTTCGTTCCATATCTTAAAAAACAGGATGTAAACTTCTTGACAAATACTGGGCCGCCAAAGTTGTGTAGATCCATAGGAAGTTTGTCCGACCCGGGAGACCTGAATCTCCTGAGGTGTCGAATCTCAATGAAAACATCCGCATCGTAAGATGGCTGCAATGAAGCATTATTCATGGATCATTACTTCTTTTGCTTTTTTCAAGATGCGTGTGAAGGAACACCTATTTTTATGGCCTGCTGATGTTCTTCTGCGAACCAAAATTGTTTTCAGCTACATAACCACTGCGCAGCTCGAAGACTATCGGAATATATTTTAGATCAGGCAATCTTTTGTTACATTTCTGCATAACAACCGGGAATTTCCTTTTAAAAAACAACGTTTAAAAGTTTGCTAAGGTTCTAGCTGTTGTTTTCAGGCAAACTAGAGCCTCGTGTTAATGGGTAAAGTTTCGTCAAGTTAGCGTGTAAAAATCTTAACTTTTCAATTTGTACCTTAAAACACCACGTTCACCAAAGTTGAACTTGGAGAATCTGCTGGTGGTTGGATTGCTACAAGCAACCTCTATTGAGACCTCGGTTCACTTGAGGTGGACCTCGCTCATTTCGATCACAAGGACGGTAAGTAAAATGGAAACATTATAGTGTTGCTCATCCCAACACTATCTCCAACTGATGAGTCCCAACCAGGACGAAACCGCGGTCTTGGAGTGCCAGTATTGGGATGAGCTACACTATAATGTTTCCATTTTAATTACGGTCCTTGTGATCGGAATGAGCGAGGTCCACCACAAATGAACCGGGGTCTCAACAGAGGTTGCTTGTAGCAACCCAACCACCAGCGGATTCTCCAAGTTCAACTTTGAATTCGTTTCTGCTGTACAAAGGGTTGCTCACGGATCTCAGTGGCATAGTGCTTATGGCGTCAACCATGAGTCACTGCGCTCCTGCGTTCCAGCCCAACTCAGGCTATCTCCAACTGATGAATCCCAACCAGGACGAATCCGCGGTCTTGGAGTGCTGGTGTTGGAATGAGCAACACTATAATGTTTCCACCACGTTCACCGTTTACCATTAACATGTCCTTCAACAAACGGCATTTTTGTCCCACAACCGGTCATTGAGTCTGGCGACACAAATAATTCTTGGAAGCAAACTAACTGTATACAAACGCGTAGCTACATTAGCTTGTCAGGAAGTAATTCGTATACGTTTATGGTCGAGATCATTCACTTGCGTATTCCACCGTGTTCAAGAAGAAGACTTATGTGAACGGCCGAAATTGAGGCCGTTTGATACGATAACAGATGCCTGAAGTATTGCACTGGTAGTATTATAAACATCATGGTTTCGATATCCATGCAGAATAGTGAGAGAATGCTTATGAAACCGAAAGTAGGCGTCATTAGAAGCAGAAGCTTATTTACTGTACCTTTGGGCACCTATTATGAAAACACTTACAGATCAACCCGTCTAATCGAGCTGCGTAAATACATTGCGGTAGCCATTTCATTATGTTCATACTTTTTACGGCGAGTCGCGGCGATAAGATGCAAATTACTTGGAACGATGTGCCTTTTGTTTACTCTAAATGCAGTCACGGTGGGAAAAGGAAACGTTAATCATGTAAATTTTCATCTCTGGTCCACGCACTCAGAGCAAAAGTAGCCTTTTGAAGTCTTAGTCGTTCACTTTATCCCGGATGCCATTTAACCGGTGCGCCTACAGTTCTCTCATGCCCCTCCATTTCTAAAGACACCAGCAAGAGTTGTTCCAGATTTCAAAAGTGTGATAACTACGACGATAATGGATGGTAGCCTATAAAATTACCACCATTTTTATGGCCACAAACGCAGCAGCCTATCCTTTTTATGTGGCAACCAAGTGCGATGAAAGTACCTTTCACATAGGTATGCTTATATGAGCAAACGTTGGATGCATCCACGTGTGTCTTCACGCTACGAGTAAGCGACATGTCTGCTTCCGGTTTTAGTCACTATTTGCTAGTCCTAAATTATATATACCAGACTAAACGCGGAAGCTAGGGTCCCCCTGACGTTATGTTGTTTCAGTTAAGAGTTCCTAAGCTAACGTATGTATGTGATATCAAAATTCGAGTGTATATGAACCGTCTAATGATTGTCTACCCTAAACTGATGAAGATATCCCGTCGACTATCAAGTGGCGTCTGAATTTTCAATTCGTAGTTGATTTAACAGCACATGCTATGTGCCAACACGACTTTTTATCGGAATGGGAACCCAAAGTGGGCGCAACAATTACATTGAAACTTCGGTGCATTGCATTCAACTTAGATCATTTAGTGGAAAAGTTATTCTCCTGGCCACATGGGGCTTGACAACTGCTGAAATCCATGAGCACTGTGGGCTTCTGAAATTAAAGACTACCTTTCAGTTTACTTGTACTTATGTTCCCACCGTTGTTCCCACAAGCGTTTCATCAGTGCGTCTCGGCAAACGTTGTGGAGCAACGCATTACGTCATCAGAACCATTCTGTCAATCAATGTTCTTCCAAATTAATTGGAAACCCTATGCAAAATTCCAAAGGCACATAAATGCTTAACCCTATAGTGCTAGTGAAAAGATAACCTCACCTAATTTGATGGACCGTATGCAATTGAAAGGATGTTTCTAAAAACTAAAGTTATCCACTCCTGAAGTAGCATAAATTAGGCGCGCTGAAAAGCTTGGGAATGTTGCGCAGTATACCTTTTCTACACATGGTAGAAAGGGTTAACAGCTAGTGTGATTGGAAATTTAAACAATTGTACACCGAAGAGTTTCAGGCAAAACCACAACAGACAGTGGAATAACAAGACAGTGCAATTAAGAAAATTAAACATGCAACGCTTAATTTAATTCCATAATTAGACCTAGGAATGTCTAGACACTGCGATATGCCTTAACTTCTTACGACGTGAATCCCATCTATATTATTCTGGTAAATTAACTTGAGTTTGATAATCCACTGGGGTTACCTAAACATAGACTTTTCTCATTTCTGTAACTCCTTGACCTGCTACTCACAGATAGCTAAAACTGTATTAGTTCATTCTATTAAGCGAGATTGTCTATTACTCATCTGATTCTGATTGGTGACTTTAGCTGCTTCAATCCATTTCATGCCTAGTCCTCCCTCCCTCACTAAACCACCGCCATCATGACACCACCAGGCAGCATCGAAAACAACGAATTGAGAATGCTCGCGAATAGGTAGTATACGGCGACAAAAGTCCCAAATGAAAATATTCGCAAAAACATCCCTATTGTAACTGTAAAATCTCAAACCGTTGACAACCTCGCATGCCTGAGCAAGTTGCAAATGTAACTATGAACCGTTCCTATGTGGGCTTGGTTCCTCGGTACCATGAGAAATATACCTTATTATTATTATTATTATTATTATTATTATTATTAAAATTCTGATTTTCTGTGGTAGCATGAACTAACTCGTATATATGCGTTAGTGACGCGTAGTTAACGATTTCAGTCAAAAGACACGTATAGTTGAATTTGGTTAAATGATTCATTTAAATGATCAGGGCGATTGGATTATTCTAGCTGATGGTCTGGTTCATTTCTTCCATTCTTTGTGTAGTAGCTTAATGGCACTGCACTGGAAAAAAGTTTGTCTGTTGAATCCTTTTCATAGATAAATCGACTGGAACTCCCGCCCAGCGACAGCAGCACTAAATACATTTATCGTGAAAAAGCCAGAGTACTTCCAATCAGAAGGTCACTCGCAACTGAATATGGATAGAACTTTGCTTCTTGTATTTTTAAACTTGCAGGTACCCAACACAGATTAAAAGTTGTCTTGGTTGCCCCGTGAAAAACGCGGTTGGGCTAACTTCACCCCTAAACCCTGTAGTAGAATTCCCAAAGTGTGATTTGATTTTTTTGGTTAGGTCTTGAAGAGATTTGATTTTCGCAATCAAATATTATGTGAAACTTTCCATTCACCAATTGCAAAAGTGGGAGAGAAAAACACTGTCTGACAGGACACTCTAAATCCATATTAGGTTGTTTTTCTTCCTTGCTATGTTGATATTCCGAAAAATCCATACTACAAGAAGTAGCAACAGAAAATCCAACGCACAATTATTATTACATGTAAATGAAATTATCAGGAACTCTGTTAACACATTTCGATAATTGTACTAAGCATTTTTCTATGTCAACATCATTATGTGTTTCTATAAACTTAGAATTTGGAAAAATACGCTGAAAACTTGGAAAAGAACCAACGGTTTGAGAGTATACGGTCTACTCGTGCACAAAAAGAAATGAAGGAAGCTTGCCAACGGCTGGTGGATCGAATTCAGGAATTGGAACAGACCGTGCAGGTATAAATGATTAGTTATATGCGGCCACAAACAAAGTTACAATGGCCTTGGAATCCAGCAAATACAATCACACTACACAATAGCACGCAAATCTTAAAAACTTTGCAAGTGGAATAATTAATAAAACCACGAGATATTGTTCGTTCGCTACTTTTATGCAAAGGAAAGAAGGTTGAGCACAAAGACAATGCAGTATGGGATACGCAAAAGAAAATTCCAATTAAACTGCGAAGGCAAACTCTAACAGAGAAATGGTACTTAGGTATACACACAGACGCCAGATGTTCCATATTACTTTGGCTAAAAGATTCGCCCGCCTACTTCCCTTCATAACAATACTACTAACTATAGTTATAGTGACGTAGATTTGTCAAACAAACTAAAACAAACTTTCATGAAGTGATCTGATCGTTACACAGCCTTTCATATGTACGGATCTGTACTGAAGCTTAGCATATTTGGGAGAAAATATCCTCGATCTTTTACATCGGGATAAAGGGACATTGATCAATAGACACATCTCGAGCTTAAAATCATACGACCACTGTACTACATGTTCGTCCTACTCTGTTTGAACCTAGGTGAACATTCTCGGTATTGCCGCGCTCCCGCTGCCTGTAACGCGTCAGTGTCGCGGTAGAAAGTCAACAATGTGGAAGGTCCAAAAAGTTGTTTTGTTCAGATACAATCACGTATGATTTCAGTGCTGCTTCGACCAGAACAAAGTTCCCGCCATGTGAAAGCTTAGAATAATAACCCCGATTCACAATAGTGGAAGCAGAACTGAGCCTTCCAACTACAGCCAGTATTGCTTCTTCCTATACACTCTAACGTCATGGAATCAATAGTTGTCAATGCAATTGTATGTTATCTAGGAAACTTTAGCATCATCAGGCCTGAGCAGCACGATTTTCGTCGACAACGGTCATGCACAACAAACTTACTAGCCGCACGCAATAGTTAGGCCGAGTCAGCTGAAGCTGGAGAAGGCGTTGATGTGATCTATCTGGATTTTTTAAAGCTTCCGATCATCTAGACTATCGGATACTACTCTCTAATTCCCAACATTACGGAATCGGCAACTCCTTTTTAATCCCGATTGCCAACTTTCTACTTCAATGGCAATTAGTGATCATACTTCGGAGCTCTTTATCGAACCCCATACAAGTCGAGTGTGGTGTGCCGCAAGGCTCAGTTATTCTTGTGTTTATTGATGACCATGCACAGGGAATCGCTTCAGATTTCCTAATGTTTGCGGACGACAACAAGGTTTGGCGCAAGATCCGGGCGAACTCTGACCAGCATTTGCTTCAGACTGAACTAGAAACGGTATAACAATCGTCATACCAAAAGATAGTACCTTTCAACGTCAGTAAATTCGAGGTACTTTCCACCCGACATCAGAGCAGTAGCTTATACCGGCACGGAACGAATATACTGTAACAATCAACTGTCGAATGTCACTTGGATGTCCTGGTTCAAAATGATTTGGTTTGTTCAGGCAATCCGAAAAGGCATCGAAGACTGGAAACCAACACGTTTTGCTGTTGCGAAGGGCATTTGGGCATATTAACAACTTCATATTTTGCCAATGGATTACAAAGTGCGTTTCAAAGTGCTCAGCGCAACGCGCCAAACGTTTTGACAAGTTGTGGATGGTCTGTCCAGTTTCGTCATAGGTTTTTTCTGCTCTCTTGCTGCCCGTTTCACGTATCAAACGGAGTATCTTTCGATGGTTTCCAAAGGCAGCAGCCATTTCCAAGTGTGAAGCAAGATGAGACCACCAGGATTCGCGGTCTCTATTTAGACTAGCACGTATCTATTATCGGAGCACTTTGTGAGTTTTATTGTGTTCGCTTCCATTCGGAATATGCTGGCAAACATCGATAATTTCCAGAGACCCCGAAGAGACCTAATGTCCATCTTGGCTGTTGGACTTACCACATGAGGATTTACCTGCTGCTACTAATTTCTGGTGTACATGCGACGATTGAGCGCTCCCTCAACCCTCATGTCGGCGTATTTCGACAGGCGTACAAAACTCCCGGCTTCTTCATTTGGCTGCTGTCAATGCGCTGATGGCGTCTTCGTAGGCGTTCGCCACAACACATCCGCAGGTCAGCACATACAAGTGCATGGTCGGTGTCCACACACGTGCTCCAAATGGACCGACAGTTCTGGATGCAGCGGTAACTGATTGCAATGTGATCGATTTGCGTCCAAACCTTGTTTGATGCTGTTGGGCGCCAAGTCACCCTTCGGCAGGTGCTGTGTCGGAAGTTAGTGCTCGCAAGAAATAAGCGGGCATCTTCACACAAATGAAGTAACCGCCCACATTTATCATTAAGGGGAACATACACCATGTTGGCCGCGCAGATTCAACTCAGCAGTGAGTGGTTTGCCAACTTGAGCGCTCAAATCCCACGCCAGTACAACCGTGTCCGCGCTTCTTCTGTGGCGAAGAACCTCGTTTATTTGTGGTAGAATCCGTCTTTTGCCGAATTATCGCTGCAGTTTGGGGGTGCACAGGCAGCGATGACGAATAGACCCCTGTTAGTCCCGCGCGACTTCGAAGCTTTGAACCATCCAGTCAATCGAACCGCACACATCCGGCTGCTGATTGGAATCCAATCAACAAGAGCAGCTTTAGTCCGGGGACTCAGGGCAATTCCAACACCAGCTTGGCAGGTGCTCGAAGCTGAATCGTCACCGGAAAGGTGCAATGAGAAAGTGCTGTTAATGTCACCTGAGGGGATTTGAGCTCTAGCACATTCATGTTGCGCTTGTGCGGCGAAAGTAAAGGAGCTCGAGCATTTAACCTAAGATCACAAGTTAGGCGGCATGCTTACAGAGACCTACCACCTATCATCAGTGAGTTGGGCGAAGCGGTGCATTGATAGTTTACACATTTGCACTTCTCAGGGGCCAAGGTAATCTTCCAGTTGCAGCACGGGACTTCCATCTCTTACAGATCTGCTTGTATGAAGGTTAGGGCGTCACTGATATTTTCCAATCCAAATTATATAGAACTATTTGCCGTCGGCAAACATGTATGGTTTACGGTGTTCGATAAATTTGAAGAGTTTGTGGATGTGCATCAAAAACAAATTAGGCCATAAGACAATTTCTGAGATCACGCCACTTGTAACTTGGCACTTTGTGGGAGTTTTGCTTAGTATTATTGCTGTTTTACGCCGAGCAGAGAAGTGCAATGAAATCAAAGCATGTAACCTGCCAGTTCTACCAAATGAATGCATTTTCCATGTGCGTTTTCAATGAGGTAACTGACTGAATGTCATGTGTATATGGAGGAATTTGATCATTAAACCTTTCACCGCATTCATTAAAAGGAGTAACAAAGCTCAGAAATTGCACCCGAAAAATGTTTACAGGAGCGTGTTTTCAAAACCTGTCCCGGGAAGTGTTACTAAACTATCGAAACAGTATGGATGCGAACACTTTTGTTTTTATTATCATTTATATTGTCCCAAACAGAATCGCGTAGGGCTAATGAGCAGATATGAGACTTGACCTTAACATGGTGTGATGGTTTGTATGCCTCAGTGATCCACTGAGCTAGGCTACATTGATTTTGCAGCTTCAGAGCCACTCATAACAGATTGCACAATGGTTAGAGGCCAAAAATCTCAGTCTCTTAGCCCTGCAGGTTGCGGGTTGGAGTGAGGATGGCTCCATATTCCATAAAACGGACTCCTTGTAGCTTACCGCCAAACCCGCTGACCTGCGGTTGGGTTTTTGAACCAAAGGATTTGGTTGAGAACCCTAATCGTTCTGCTGCTTAGGCCTTGGCAACCTGACAGTATCCTGCTCATGAAATACACTGAATTTCTCTACAAAATGTTTCTCCATGCCCTGGCCGTCGCAGGCAATTAACTGGGCCCCATCTGCTGTATCGAGCCGGGTGGATAGAGATTTGAATACTACTGATCAGACCTATCCGATTTTTTATACCCCTATTGCGCTTTTCTTCCTTACCGTCCCGTTTCAACTGTACTTTCCTCCCCCGCTTTTTCGATCCCCAACTCCTTGGCCTACCCCCACCTTAGTTGAGTCGTCGCTTTTCTTCTATTTTCAACTCACACCTAATCGCGGGGCGTCGCTCCAATCTAGTCCACAAGTCCATGTTCAACCAAGCGAACAACGTTAGTTCATCCATTTTCATTTTGAGTCTTCGATCCTCGTTAAGACTGGTATGCCTCAGTGTGTGCACTTTGATACAGATTGGCGAACAGACAGCACTTACACGAAAACTCGAAACCCAATCGATTGATATTTGCTGTTTTATCGGAAACTCGCCTGCAAGCTTCGAGCTCCGTGCTTACTTTGCGATCCCCTACATGCAACACTGGCGGTAACTCCTCATTGTGACTGCCTGGAGATGACGCTGGTTCAAATGCTGGTCAAGTTGGCGTCGGCATTGTTTTGAGCTCTCGGGCTGAAGCTGTCCTGATCAATTTGATCCCTGTCAACAGCCGGATGTGCGCCGTTAGTTTGTCTGTCTCGTTCCAGGCTCCTAAGTCACGTGGGGACCAACGGTGCCTCTTTGTCATTGCGGCTTCCGCCCACAAACTGCAGTCCCGATTCGGTGTAAGATGATTTCTATCACTAACTTAACGATCTCCTTCGTTACAGAAGATGCACGCATACTGTGGTGCATGCTGGTGATATAAAAACCCAAATCGAAAAATGGTTCTCTGATGAGCTTCTTCTGGGCGTGCAACGTGGTGTAGGTTCCCCTAATGATAACCGTGTATGGTTGCTAAACTTGTGTAAAGGTGCTCGTCACTTTCCCGTGGACACTGACTTTCAGCATAGCACCCGCAAAAGAGTGACTTGGTGCCCACCAGCCTCGGAACAGTGATGGACGCAAATCGATCCCATCGCGATTAATTACCGATGAAGAGGTTGTGTCCAAAACTGTCGCTCGATTACGAGCACCAGCGTAAACTCCGATCACGCACTCGTGTGTGGCGACTTGC